ATTCGTAAATATAACTTTCTACGTGGCTTTAATCTGTATTTTCATTGGTCGACAAAAACCACTGAATTTCGCGGGTTGCTAGTTGCTGAAGGAATCCAATTATAAGTTGAAGAAGTTTCGAAATCCATCGGGACGTCGAGTTTTATCATCGAAAAATGTGAAAGACTCGGTGAAAGTTTTTTCTGTCTTTCAATTCGCTTTTGCAAAACTATGCCGTGACTTTATTAATTTTCTACTGTACATAGACGAACCCGAGGGAATTAATTGTGACAGGTTAAAACTGTGAAATGGAAGAAACGGTAAACGCTTCTTTCATTTTCTACGTCATTCAAATACTTGTTATTCGTGTTTTACCCATTGGAAGTTTATTAATTTTCTGGTGTTTGGAACGAAGAATGAGACATTTCGAGAATCTTGAATAGAAATAAAATTTTTAATATTCCAGTCCTTTTAATTGGAAATCAAGGAGATTCGGTTCAATTCATTCAATTTGCTGAAATGCAATTTAAAAAATAATTAAACAGAGATTGATAAACCGAAAATTTGTAACCTTTCGATCAATTGTTTAATGAAAACAAGGATCGACGATTCTAGCGTTCTAGTACGCATCTATAAATGTCCCAATCCTGTCGTCGATTGTTCCATCAGAGCGTTCATCATTCTCGATGATACAGTTTCAACGTCGAGCTTTGACTACGATAACACCGGAGAATGATCAACACTATTCGAGCTCGACAGATAATTATTGACCGAGACCCTAGATATGCCACTGTATTTACGAGTTCATCGCTGGTCCAGGTATCTCGAAAGCAACAGACATTGAACAGATACTTGTCCCAGTATACACGTGTAAACGGATAGATTACGTTTAATAATTCTGCTGCTTATTTTATAAATCACCGATTTTAAGAAGGTTACATTCTAAATTTTACTACTTGCTATTTTGTTTTTTGCTCAAAATGACGATTCAAACTCCCCATAATTTCATGTGAAATTTTCAATTTTTAATTAGTATAATAAGAAGACTGTTTAAAATAACATTTTTCTATTCGAACGATGTTACTTCGTATTCGTACAATTTGAAGACGCGCAATGGTGAGAAAGTGCAACTCAATTATGCATTCCCTGATTTCGGTGTTAGGTTAACTCAATTCGAACCGCGCGCACGTTAATTGTGCGAAACTCCCTGATTATCCTCGCGTTTAAATCGCATTAATCTGCAGCGGCAAGGGCAGCGACTGTGATATTACCGCATCCTTCCTGCTGACCCTTTCGTCGGGTTCAACCAATAGATCGCCCGTTTCGAGCGCTTAATTTGTAAAACGTTGCAATTGGTCGCTATTCAAACGGTCCAATTCCAAATTACAACGACAAAAGGTTTGAAATAACTAATGGCCGTGGAATTTCGAATATATTGAACGCGTGACAATCGATCGCAGAAATGAAAGTAAACCGTGTAGAATAGGAGTCAAAAGTAATCAGAGCAAAATGTACGATAATACAGTTATCCGCGTAATGAGTAGAAATTACGGGAGACGAATATTATTTAATGCGCTATTTTATTCGAGAAAGTTGTTACGTATGCATGGAACTATTTCCGAATTAGACGTGCAGATAAATGAAGCTGCGTAAGAAGTGGCTCGTTATTCAAAAGCAGGTGGCAGACAGTTATAATTATAGAATACCTAATAAGCGGTTGCGAAATGATATAAGGTTGCGGATGTCTTTCAGACACGGAAGAACCTCGAATTAGATAGCAACTTCGAGATGATAATATCACTGATAAATGGAGAAACTTTACCGACTTCTAATTTATTTACTTTCTCATTATTCCTTTCGTATCGTTTTAAAATAATGTTCAACCCCGCGAGAGTTAATATCATTTCGATTAAGATACCGAATGGGAATTTAAATCTTATTTCGATCGAAGATTTTAATTGTAATCAAAGAAATAATTAAGTGATAAGGTGGTAATTCCCGGAATCCTGATTTCGAAGATATTACTTTTCAGATTAACTTAGAAAAAATTAAATATTAAAAAATAATTTCCTCGAGATCTTTACTATAGAAGGTGTGAACAGAAGTTTTATACTAGGTGCTTTTTTTCTATTATACGAGCAATTCGTTGTTTTTATTTTAACACACGTGATCGCGAAAGAAATTTTAAGGCAGAGGGTTAATTTCTTCGTCAACAAAAGTTGAATGCTTCTCGAACGCTGAGTATCCCCTACTGTTTTAATTAAAGGCCGCGGTTTCGGCATCGGACGACCACGGAATACCAGATTCTTGAAGCAGCCGGATTATGATTCTTTATATATTCAAGCCGCACACGGCTGTATGATTTGCATGATAATAGAGGCACAACAGTAAAAAGCTCTTTTATTCATTTTTCTCCGTATCCTTTATGTTCGTTATCCCCCCTTAGGTCGTTTATTTTTAATTAACATCTGATTGACAGAACCGATGCGTCTGTCACGTACACCTAATACCGGAGGATATAAAAACATGAAAGCGAGGTAAAAAAATTCACCCTTTTAATTGGGATTATATCGGAAAGCGATCTAATAAAACGAACTTATTGGAAATGTGAAATGCTACCGGTACCATTGTTTCGACCAAGATATGACAAGAATTGGAAATCAATTGGTGCAATTGATGAGACTTTTAAAATTTTCCGAAAATATAAAAAATATCTAAAACGTACAAAATAGTAGATAACTCTATTTCGTTCATTTTTAATTAGAATTTTCAATACATAATTATGATTCGAGTACGAAGCACACTGTAATCAATTGTCCATTTCGAAATCACGTTTAGCAATTATACGTTAATACTGATTGCTGGTGAAAATTAATGACTGATGTTTGAATGTTTAATTGCTACAATTTCTATAGGAATATCAAATATTGTGGATAGAAGGGGTAAATATAAAAAGAAATTATGAATCTTTACGAACCCTAAAATGAAACTTTTTGTTCTGTTTCTGTTTCCTGTTGACCGTTTATCCAGCTATTGATCACGCGATATAAAGCGGTGATTAATAACAATCGCTCGAATGACGAACAAATTACAGTGATTCGCGCACGAACCGCGAACACTGAGTACGGAAATGCATAATGCAGTCTTCTATACATATATACATGCTTCTGTTATCGTGCACAGGCTGCTGTATCCTCGTGCATCTGTATTTGCATAATAGCTGTGACCTCCTCCCTTTCCTTCGCCTAGCTTAACTTACAGCTGAAACTAATAACGATCGTTATCGGGATCGGTGTGGTCAGTCCCTCTTCCACGAGATTGGTGAGCTGCAATTTTTGCGCCGGTATCCTGCCTTCTTTACGCTACCTTCTTTATTGCAGCTTACAAAATGACACGCTCAACGGTGAAATATCAGCTTATACGAAGCTTGCCAGCTCATTTCGTTCGCTCATCAAATACACGCGCGTCAAAGACGATATTGAAACCGTAATCTTCATCTTGACGGTGCTATCTCGACGGCATCTTTATTTCTAATCATTTTTTAACGAGGAAATACTATCATGTATCGGTATTACAAATTTAATTTAACGAAATAATTTAAGAACAAAGCTGTGAAGAAATTGTATGATTAGACATTAGACAATCCGTGATATTTCAACGTTTGAGAAATCAATTTATTAAGTAATTCAATCTAAACTGAATTCACCTGGTCACGAAAAACACGTTAATCCAACTGGTAAATTACTCAAGATCACACGATACCTAACGGAAAATAGGATAAAAGATTCTTTGGAGGTTCAACGAGGAAGAAGAACCCGGAAGAGACAGGCAAAAAGAAGGTAACGGAGGTAAGGAAAGGAATTTGATCCCAATAATTTATAACCCTCACGACAATACGAACGACAAGCGAAGAGCCGCATAAATCCTCAGGACTGCTCCGCTTGTATTTTGAAATTTATTCGCTAACCGAAGGAGAAGATGCCGGTATCGAAACATGCTACAGACCTGGAAGGAAGCTAATGGCTAGAAAATGGAAGAAAAACGAGAATAAACCGCGGTTGTTCGAGTAAAAATATTGCCCGGGTTGTCGCGGTGCTGTCGCTACCTACTTCATGAATTAATATTGCAGACTTAATTTTCCGCGCATGATACCAACGCTGAAAGTATACTTCCCTTGACGTATTTGGGTCAATGAAAGCCCTTTTTATTTATCGCTCTACGTTGAAGAAGAATTTATCAATGAACGCGGATAGTTTATTTCTTATTGAAAAATCACCTATCGATCGTAAGAATTGAACAACAAAGAAGCAACGTTCCAAAGTGTTTTGATAAAACGACGTTACCCTGACCTAATACGAGAGACGCGTAGAAACGAGCTCGTTAAAATTTCAGTTTGAACCCGTTACTCCTTCCCTGTGGACTTTTAATTCCAATTCCAACGGGTCGTTTCGTTTGTTCCAGCCGTTGTTTCCAACCGTGTCAGATCGTTACAGCAACGACAAGTTACCGACCCGTGAAACTAGATCCCGAAAGGGACCGGAACTGTTCCCAAACACCAGGGACCGTAACCTGCCCAGAATCTTTGGAATGGCTATTGCACAGCCGTAAGTGTTATCCGTGCTAACGCGTTGTCGATTTACACTGCATTTCAAAATTTTCTTTTACTGCCAGAAAACTCGCCATTTATTGTAAAATTTTTTATTTAAAGTATGGTGTATTTATGGTAAATGTTTAGAAGCTCTAAAGTTATTTGTTAAAATTCAACAAGAAAGGTCAGCGTTACACAGATTTTTCAAAAAGTGTAAAGAGCATTTGTGAGTGCAGTCGCCTATTTTGCCAAATAATAAATAGTCCTTTGAAATTTCGAGCAACCTTTCGAATAAAAGCTTCCCGTACATTTCCAGTTAGAGGTGCGTTATTGTATTTTACAATTTTGTAAAATGTAACACGGTTTCGCGTTAGTTCTTGTTCCGCCCACTTTAAACTTCAATATTAAACGAGAATAAATGTTGCTTACTTACATTGGTGTTTGTTCACGTACTGTTTACAGCCGAAATTTTCTAGGTTGATTTTTAAACCGGATCTTCCTCCGAAACTGCTGTTTCACCGATGTTGCTCTCCCGTTTCTGAAACACACAAAGTTTTTCTGTAATATGTTTGCCGCTACCAAGTGTTTAATAAAAATATCAAAAAATTAACTTCACGGCACGAAAAAATATTAGAGAGAGAATTCTTCTTTCCTTTTTCGCGAACAAAAAACAAACTTTATTAAAATTCACGTACACAATTTAACTTTGCTATTTTCCGTCGGCAACTTTTGCTTCAAATATTTACAAACTATAGTAATTTTATGCATTCAAAAATTGAAATATTTATTCATGATATCGTAGCTTAATAACTTTAAACATTTACTTCAACCGCTTGTTATATACATACAATTTTTCTTATTAAAACAATGAAGCAGTTTGCGTACAACTTAACAATTAACATAAACAAAAACAATTTCATCGAAAATTTCAACGTTTCTTCCCAATCTTTCTGATTTCCAGAAATTCGATGGCCCCGTAGCGAGGTTCCATTTTAAACGAATTGCTCCTGCTTTTATTGCTACATTCTATTTCGTCCTGTTGCGAGATGGACGCCGGCATGGCTCGTTTCCGGAAAAGTGCTGCTCTCCCACTCTCTCTGTTCCCAAATACGCGTTTCTCCTGTTTTTTGGGCTGGAGTGATTCAGACAGGGCTTAGAAGGGAACGGGAATAGGGTAAGTGGACATCGAGGATGATGTTGACCTCTGCTACTGCTGTCAACCGCATCCAAGCTCGAGCTTGTGCGACTCGTTTCGAACGTTACAATATCTACATGTTGAAACATTTTCCAACTGATCCTCCTACTCTCTATCTTTCTCTCTGTCTCTCTCTTTCTCCCTTTTCAGCGAGCTGTCAACGTTGATGGATGCTCGCTTCGTTTCTGCTCGCAATATGCGTGATGCGTCGAAGATTGCCCTTTGAACTCCGAGTGCTGCTGGATTTCGGATGGACTTTGTGATTGATTTTGCTCGTATACCTATACGCCACTTCGTACTGATTGCAAAACTGTTTTCAGTTAATAATGAAATTCGTGATTTTGGCAGGACATGTTGTTTTCAGTATTCTACTTTTTCTGGGAACTGATTGATCTTATAAATCAATTTATTTTATTGAAGATACGAAGTGTAAATAATTATCTGAATGAATTTTATTCCCTGCTTTAATCTCATTTACAAAATAGTGGATTCCAAAGTCTAAATAAAAACGTGCAAATATGAAACTATAAATTTTATCCCACTGTGTACCTACTAAACCACCTCTACGCTCAGCCCAAGATAAATCGTATCGTTGATGTAAAACAAGCCCCTCGGCCTTTCCCTGGAATGAAATATATATCTCGTAGACGACCAGCTAATTTTTTCTCTGTCACTGAGGTAATTTTCACGAGAGCCACGCTAGGTGGTACAATTTTCCATTCGTTCCGGGGCCGGTCACTCCGAGAAATAAAATTTGTAACGTTGATCTACCGATGTGCAGTGTTCAAGCTATTACGTTTAATATCATTAGCGTGATAACCGGTGGAACTCAGCTTCGCGTACGCTTCAGAATTATACATTCAATTCCGATGAAAGCATTCCAGACAAAAGTTCTGCTGGCTTGACACTTTAATCGCCGATTGACGAAAATTATAACAAACGGAAATTGGAAGTGTTCGATCGAGTATAGTACATCTCATGTCAGACAGTTGTGTACGGTTCCGATCGTTTGTCTCAACCCGTCGAAGATTTTCTCGCCCGTGAAAAATTTAATTGCTTCGCACTTGTTGATGAACGACTTACGGATTGACGGTACTGATAGATATTTTGCACCATGCCTTGCAACTTTTCAAACGATTCAAGAATATTGAAATTGGGAATTCAAAAATATTGGAGTTAGTTGTTTCAGAAATTATTTTCTTGACTGTGTTAAATTGATCGATTTAACATAATAATGCATTTTTATATTGACTAAAATAATTGGAGCAATCGAGGGAAAGCGGAATTTTTTTTTTTCATCACACTATCACACTACTGAAAAGCTGTTAACGTCGTTAAAAAGAGCAGAATTTTCCCTTTAAAATGACACCGGTCTCGTGTCAGTACGACTTTCCGTCACTGAGATATCCGCCTTTAAAGTTGAGCATAATTCTGAAGATTTCGCTATTGCTGTCTCTCTCGCGCAGTCACTGACCTGTCCATGCGTGATTGATGCTGAGAAACCGTTTTTTTACTACGCGTAGTACGCACGGCGCCACTACGCGCTACCAGGAAAAAATGTAGGTCAGCTCGTTTTCTAAGAAACCGGCTCCCATTCATAATTGTCCCACGCGTTACTATGCGCTACCGCCTAAACTTTAAACCTTCACATCTCAGGAACCAATTGAGATATTGATTTAAAACAAATTGCATGTTAAAGAGTATACTTCCCTCTATCTATGGATGATATTTTCTTATAAATAAACAATAGATATTTATGCAAATTTATGTTTTATATAAACCCCGTTGCCAAAATGGAAGATAATTATTCTCTTGCATTATAAATTCATTCGTACATACATTTACTTAAGAACTTCTCAAGTCCCTGTATAAACAATGACTGTAAACGTAGGCGCAATAACTTTTGTGTTGACTAAAATGAAGAATATTCCGTGGTTTAGCTACCGTAGCATGCTTCCTTCCGCTGTTACCCACCAGGAGACATAATAAGCACAGCAAATTAAGCACACAACACGAGTCATGTAACAACTTCCAAAACGCTTCCTCTTGCATTGCCGTTGGGAACAGTTCCTACTGATCTACTTTTAGGAAGTAGTTAATCGCTCATCCAGGAAACTCGGATGCGTTAATTTCCGATCAGTTTCCGTGATCCATGGACGATAGAGGCGACAGAGTCACTAAACAGCATTAAACGTATTTCCTTGCGTGTTCTGTATCTATCTATCGATTATGTGTCTCTTCAATTGATTATTCGTTCCAAACAACGACTGCCTGGTTCGTAGAAATATTTCCGTTTGTATTTGAACGCGATATATGTATAAGTGTTGTACTACGAAAAACAAAAAAAAAACAAAAAAAAAAACAATTCTCTTAGAATTGAAAGGAACGAAAACTTTTAAGCTTTTAAGCTTTTACGCAGCATTATGCATGAACCACCAAACTCAACGAAGAGTATGCCAAAAGATAATTAAAGAATCGAGTATTCTTACTTTTTCACGCGACCCAGTGATCACAGAATGGAAACGTACAAATTACCGTATCTCGATAACAATCGTGAAACGGATATAGGTACGTAAGTTCGCGTGTCAGGCTCTCTTCCACGCCTTGCAAAAATTACACGCCACCCTTTCGAACAGCGTACAAAATTACTATGTAACCCCCTGAATCCAATGCCACCTGAGATGAATTTGTAAGCTCGTAAAAACTTTGCACGTCTCAGAAAATGGAGAAGAAAGAAATATAGAATTTTACTTCTGAAGAATATTTAATTTAACCTTTTAATTGTAGAGCATTCTAGAACGAAAATAGAAGAATTTTATAACGCAAAATAAATAAATAATGGAAAAAACTTTTTTACCCAATGGAAACAAATTTTACAGGTGCTATGGAAGCGAAACACTATTTAGACAGACAATCCTATTACCAATACAAAAGCTTTTGTTGGATAAAACAGAATGCTTGTTTTCCACAAAGGTGGAGCAAGAGTGCAGTTTTATTATGTGTGCACTGCACAATAAAGAGCAGCAGTACTTTTCTACCTAGAAATTCATTATTAATTTTATAAAACTAAAGAATAGAAATCTAAATCTCCAAGAATTATAAATGTGTTTGAAATACGTGTTTCATATAAGTGGTTCCAAAAACCACTCGCGAAACAGACAAACAAATGTTCCAGCGGAAATACGACTACGTTCAATCTACATTGTTGTAATATTCCTCAGCCAAAGTACAAGATTTTCAGTGCCATTGGTGTCGTAAATTCTTTGACCCAGTGACATTCACAGTTTCAATCTACGGAAAAAGAGAGCCAACTGCCTGAAACGGTACCACTTTGTGTCTGTCTCAAACTAAAAAGATCATCGATAAACCGGTTGGCGGTGATCCAACCCCCTTCCGGTTTAACCCTCTTTCACCTGTCCTCATCTCGTTCTTCCATCTCGTTCCCTTGCTCTTCATCCATCAAGCCCAGAACAGGTGAGAGGGGCGAACCTTCGTTGCTTGTCGATTCACCTACGACCATATTTTCAAGGAACTTACAGTCTGAGCACGGATGTCTCGATTCACGTCGATGGTTGAATCCACTTCCGTTCCAGCGGGATAACCTCGTTCCAGCATTGTCATTCGACCCCCGCTGAACGAACACCACCGGAGATATTTCATCGAGATTCCAGCCGGGACGTTCTGGTATTTCATTGTCATGGAAATAGACATAAGACGAAGCGGGAAACGACGAGTTGGGGCCAAAAAGAGGACCCTGGATTCTTTAAGACGAGAGAGAAAGAGAAAGTCTGCCCGGTTTTCAGCCAGGATTCCGACGAAACGATCAGGGAACGATGTCTACGAATCGATTCGCACTACCAAGATGACAGGGATGTGTTCGTCGCACGGCAACCGAGCCGATTCGGGGGCTAAGTACCGTGAGGATAAATAATGCATGAGCCAGACATTTTACTTTGCTCGTAGCTAGCTTCGCTTTGATACCCGTCGCGTGACTACCGTGAAAGAGACGGCTTTTCGCGTAATACGCTTGTCGATTCTTCGCTGACACCGGTAATGAAGTTCAGCAAGGCTGAACGACCGATGTTCCCTTCAACTGCTTGCTTGTCTCTTCGTTCATCGATTCTTTTGAAAATCACAACGGTCTGCCTCGCCATTACCAATATACTCAATTTTCACCCTCACTCATGGAATATTAATATGTACTCAGGTGAGACGTTCGCCTTCTTTGGGGTAAGAATAAACGTAGGGATAGGAGCCTTTTGAAATCCTTTTGTAAAGGCCAAACCCATCTTGAATCCTATCAAGTTGCCTCGATGTTAATATTCACCAGTTTAAGGAAAGAA